GACTTGAACTGCAGTCGACTACATGGGAGTCCAGTGACATAGCCATTACGCTAACTGCTGGTCCCTAAAATTAAGCATTTTAAAGTGCACAGTTTAGTGGGACTTAGAGTATTTATGATATTGTGCAACCGTGACCTCTGTCTAGTTCCAAAACATTTTCATCACCCCAAAAGGAAATCCACCCCCATTAGCATTTCCTGCCCTGCCCTGCCCCTGGCATCCACTGATCTGAGTGCTGTCTCTGTGGACTTGCCTGTCCTCCACATCCGGGAAAGGACTTGACACATTTCTTTTGTTCGGTGCCGTCCCCATCACCCTGTGTTTCTGAGTTCTGCCTGCGGCCTCTGGGCTGCCCCCTCTGCCTGCCTGACTGACCCCGTGTGCCTCTGTCTTTGCAGCTCCTGACTACAGGTCCATTCTGAGCATTAGTGACGAGGCAGCCAGGGCCCGGGCCCTGAACGAGCACCTGAGCACGCGTAGCTATGTCCAGGGGTACTCACTGTCCCAGGCAGACGTGGACGTATTCAGGCAGCTCTCGGCCCCGCCCGCTGACTCACGGCTCTTCCACGTGGCTCGGTGGTTCAGGCACATAGAAGCGCTCCTGGGCGGCCCCTGTGACAAAGGCGAGCCCTGCGGGCTCCGAGCAAGTGAGTAACAGAGCGGGTCTCCAGCCGAGGGCCGCTCCTCCAGGGTCAGCAGCTATCTTCATGGCCCCCGGGGCAGGCGATACCCCTGAGGGAGCCTCACTCAAGTGCGTCTCAAGCATGTGGCCTGGTGGGGCAGATCCAGTCCTCGAAGGGTCAAGGGTAGGATAAAATCACCCCGTGGAACTGGTCCTTTCGGATGTCAGGATAGCAGAACTGCTGTGACAGGGAGCCTCATGGAGTACCTGGGCTGCAGCCTCTAGCCTCGTGATTTTCAAATGCCTTCCTTGCCTGCCTCTGATTTGACTTGGTTCTTTTCATCTCTTTTTTCCCTAAGATTGCAGTGTGTTTGTCCTCCAGATTTGGAATTGTTGAATCTACAGCAACATAAAAGTGAGCGAAAATAAGTCACTGCTTTGAGACTAAATCAGTCTTGTGGCTTTAGCCCCAGCCTGTTATGGGGGATGGCTGCAGTTGTTTGGGGACAGATACTTCTGGGAAGTCTCAGGGGCTCAGGTTCCATGTAGTTTATGGGTCTCTGATGTGGTGAACCCCAGGCCCTCCATTCCACACCACCCTGGTTCCCTGAACAGCTCAGCTCCTTCCGTGTCTTCGGCCCTCACCCCTTCATGCAGACAGGCGGTGTGCTGTCTCCCACTGGTCTCTGCTGGCCTGGAGGCCTCCTGGGGGACCCTTCCAGACTCCTTTGGGGCTGGGAGATGTGGAACATGCCAGTACACCTCTCCAGCTGGGTCTGCTGTTTTACCAGGGATGTTGGTAGGTGGTGGCATGGTTTTCAGGATAATCCTGCAGCGAGTACCCGTTCCCTGGCACATGGTAGGAGCCATGGCAGAGTTGGCTGTCTCTCTTTACGGCTGTTTCTGTCATGCCTCGAGCGTGGTGAACCAAGTTGACTTCTGTGGTGTTAGGTGCCTTCTGTCCAGAGGTCTTGGGCATCAGGCTGTCCCGCCCTCATGCCGTAGCTCCCAGGACATGGGCACCATGGAGAAGAGCAGAGGGAACAGGCCTGGGCCCCCAGCCACAGCAGCGCTCTGCCTAGTCTTCCCTCATGAGGATTTGTTGGAAGAGCGATGCATGTCCCTGCTCCTGCTCACCATTCCCCTCTGCGGGGGGCTCCATCACCCTCCAGTGTGCCTCCATCCGGCCTCGCATATGTGCCCATCACCCGCTCCTTCCATGTGCCTCTGTCTTCTCCCTGAGGCGGGGCCTCAGCAGCTTGAGGGGTCCTAACAGACACAGGAAGTCAGGTAGTTCTGCTCAACTCCCGGAGCCCTGTTCCTGTGAAGCCAGACCCCATCCTGGGCCTGGCCCTGCATCTCTGTTCCTCCTTCCCCCACTCTGTGGCTGCAGTGTGAAGAGCCATTTGATTTCAGGGGCTGGAACTTGCCGAGCTGTCAGCCACAGCTGGTCCAGCCCATCCAGCCTGCCTTCCTCTCCCAACTCCCCCAGGAGGAGCCTCAGGTGTGCTCTCCACCGAGCAGGTGTGCAGGTCTGTCGATGCTGCAGCTGTGTCCTCAGCAGTATGATAGTCACTCCCTCCTCCCAGGCAGGGAACCGTTAACTTCCTTATGAAGTATTTCTCTCTGAGAGCTCCTCGCTCAGGTCCCTTCTGCATCTGATGTGAGTGCTCGCCCCAGAGGGACTGGTCGGTACCTCCTGGTGTATTTCTTTCCGTTCTTTTATCTTCAGTCTTCCCAGGCCCCTCATTTTTAAGATGCAAAGTCATTCTGCTGTGGTTGGTTCCGTCAGGGTTTGTTCCTCCTGTATCCACACGCCTAGGACAGTGCCTGGCCCAGGTGGGTCTGACTACATATCATTGAATGAATGAATATGAGCTTATTGTTTCAGGAGAAACCGGAGCAAAGACTTATGAACGATCTTCAAAAAGTTTGTAGAAAATGCGTACTATGAAAAAACTGCATGGGTTTCAGTTATTTTGTGCCATGATAAGCTCGTACTTTAGTCCTATTTTTCCACAAACTCTTTGAAGTGCCCCAGTACAGCATAGCACATGGAAGGCTCTGTTGGAGGCCTGTATAAGCATGGAGAAATTGGAATTGCTGGGTAATGGGTGCTGCAGAGGAGTTGGGCGTGAGGCTGGGGAAATGCCTACTAAAAGTAAGCCCTGCTAACTCGGGGGGACAGAGGCCGTCACTCAGGAGAGTCAGGGGTCCTTGTGTGATAGCTCCCAGTTTTTCCTTTGCCAACTTACCTTGAAACTTGTCACTAGCATGTCGCAGCAGTAGCAGGCTTTAGGGGCTCTGGAAAGCTGAGTGACCTGTGTCCTGGGCAGTGTGTGCGGGACCTGCCTGTCACGAGTCTTCTTAGACAGTGGTCAGTCCTGTGAGCGCTGAGCACTTGCTGCACAGCAGGACGAGTGCGGTGGTCTCACTGCCCCACCTTCGCGTGGCTGCTCTCAGCAGCACCCACAGTTGTGTGAGATGGCCACAGCGTCTTTGTTTCAGGAATGATTGGGTCTAATGAGGAACAAAGGTGATGGAATCATAGAGTGGCAGATTTGACGCCCTCAAGGGCCTTTGATACATTTAAAGTGAACTTGTGAGTGAGCCAGCTGATGGAGTGCAGGTTCCATGTGACCAGCTATATGGTTCAAGTCCCAGACCTGGTGGCAGGAGTGCATACATGCCCAAAATCCTGAGAGTGGATAAGGGATTGTGGTATGACCATCCCTTCTGGGGGATGCTTTCTCACTTTTTTTTCTCTTCATCTCTCTCTTTGGTGAGCTCAAGTACCCTTTAGAACATATACACAAAAAAAGCAAACAGAAGACTTAAAGTGAATCTGTGAGAATGTACCTGTCCTGTATAAACACTTTATGTTTTACTAGGGATTTTGGATCTTCCATTCATTTTCAATACACTCTGGGACCACCCCAGAGTGTGCTGAAACTTCTGGAGCTAAGAGCTCCAGCATAGTGCTCTTTGCATGTGCCCTTTCCACCCACCCGCACGCAGGGTGGCCATCTCGTTCTGCTTAGCCCGTCAGTGAACAATGTCTGTTTGTTGATTACATGATCTGGGAAAGGAAAGGAAGACCTGAAGATGGCAAGTGCCTAGAACTGGCTTCTCTGACTGTGTCTAGTGATCTACCAGCTGCGTTCAACAGAGATTTGAGGGAGATCCGTACAGGGTATCACTTGTTGGCAAACCCTCCAACACGAAAGATGATCACCTTTTTTTTTTTTTTTTTAAGAAGTGTTTGCCTTAGGGCACGTGCGCTTGCCAGAGAGAGAAAGACAAAGCTAGTGAGAGAGAAATGGCCACTCTGCAGTCCCTTCTTCTCCCAGGATCTTGGGCTCACGCACACACACATGCCCAGTATGTATTTCAAGCCACAAGGTCCAAGACTCGAACCACAGTCTGCCATGACGGAGTCCAGTTACGTAACCAGTACGCCATCTGCTGGTCCCAAGATGATGACCTTTTCGAACACAAAGTCAGAGGTAGAGAGGAGGTGGGAGTCAGTGTAGCTCAGCAGAGCCCGCACAGCCTGTCCGGGGTCAGAGGTGCCACAGTGTCCGAGGGTAGGTGTGGGCTGGTCCCACAGGGCAGAGTGCAGGAGCCGAGCCACAGGGTGATTAGAAAATCACCAGGTGCCTTCTGCAGCACTCAGCTTTGCGGGGTCCTTCGGGGTTTTCCAAAATGCAGGACAGCCATTTGCCAAGCTGGGAGCTCATCCTGGAGGGGGTCTCATAGTGGAAAGTGCCCACAGTGGAGCTACCAAGCCTGGCCAGGACACATGTCAAGAGGGCACCTGGGTTGTGGCAGTATCAGAGAGGAGAACAGGAAACTGACTACAGGGCCTGCGTGAGCCAGTGAGGACCAGCTTGGAGGCTGGGGAGGACCTTGGGGTTGTTTCAGAGGGTAGTACAGAAATGATGTGGAACTAGGGGCTGGGAATATTTGGGTCAGAGTCTGCTAGGCTGCAGGACCAGAACTGGGAGCTTGCTGTTCCCTTCCCTATATCTGATAGGGTCGTGGAAGGGCTAAGCCAAGGTCACTCTGACACATGAGGAACGACTATTTCTGTCCTGACCCCTGCCTTCTCTTACACCTAGAGGCTTGGAGGTGGCCTGTGTCCCAAGAAGCGTCCTCAAAACCCTCACCTTGGCAAAGGAGGGATCCTAGGATGGGCACCCCAGGCTGTGACAGTCAGCAGCAGGTGCGCTGGAGGGCACTGCAGTTCTGTGCTGCCCCAGGCCGTGGTCAGCCTCCTGCACGTCACAGGCACCACTGCCTGAGGGAAGAGCAGTGGAGTGTGTGGGGACATCCTGTTGACATTCTTCAGTCCCACAGAGCTTTGTGCTTGTCACTGGGATATGCTGCCACACTAGGTGTGAGCAAAGCAAAAGAAAAACGGTTGTGTTTAAACACGTTCATTACGTAGACGGAGGTTTCCATTGTTTAACATTGTCTCATAGTTCGTTGATAATGATAGCTCCTGGGTGAGAACAAAGTCTGGATCAGCAGTGGGTGCTGTCTGCGTGACCAAGCTGCTCTTTCTTCCCTCCCAGGTAAAGGCCGGCGAGTGCAGCCGCAGTGGTCCCCTCCGGCCGGGACACAGCCTTGTAAACTCCGCCTTTACAACAGCCTCACCCGGAATAAGGTAAGGAGTGCCCGTGTCTGCCCTGGACTTAGCTCAATGGAAGAGAAAGCAGAAGGAGACAGAGAGAGAGAGTAGCAGTGGAGTAACCTGTGCCGCCCAGGCAAACTGAGCACCTTTATTTATAGTGCAAAGCAACACCACGTGTATGTGACGTTCCATGGATGAGTTGATATGTTACAGACATAGGAAGCAAGTAACAAATCTGTAAGGGTTAAGACGTACTGGCACCAGGCGTTATCTCCTGGGTACATGCATACCAAAGAGAAATCCCATTCAACTTCTTAATTAGTGAAGAGAAGCCTGTCTGCCCGTGTGGGGAGGACACTCTTGCATACATTGCAGGGGTGTTGATTAGGCCATAGTATCTTACAGAGGCAGAGCAGGGGTTGGACTTTATTGATCAGAGTCAGGATGTTTCCTGAGTTCCAGCAGATGTGTCCACGGAGTGACCCCTGTAAAATGCCACCATTTGCTGCCTGCAGTAGGGAGAAGGAAAGGACGAGCTGTCAGGCTTTGCTGCAGCTTAAAGAGACAGGTGATGCTTGCTCAGAGCATGTCCCCACATCCTCAGGGCTTCTCTCCAGACATGTCCCTACAAAGGAGGAATCAGAAAGTCCCTCCATGTGTGCACAAAGGCAGAGACAGACAGCCCTGTGCCTTTTCAGAAAACAGACTGTTGTCTGTTCATTGTGCTGCGCTCTGAAGTCTCTCAAATCCAAATTTAATATCCTTCGGTTGCTCGCAATGCTGAATCTCTGTAGCCTGGGGGCAGAGCTTTCCTCTGATGCGCAGACACAAGTTGGGCATCTCGCCTCTTGTGGAAGTCTGCCCATTGGCTCCTGGGAGGACTCTCCTGGGCTCAGCCCAAGCGTAAACGCTTGAGGTCATTCATGACAAGCCAAGTGTTGGCATGCTTTCCGGAGGACACATGGTTGCAGCAAGCATCCGTGCCAGCCCAGCCCAGTGGGCATAGTGGCCAGCCTGCCCTTAGATGTTGGCAGGAGCCCAGCAGGACTGCTTCCTAACTGAATAGGACTTGCTGGTTTGTTTAGCTCAGGGCACAGCCAGTGGCTCCAGAGGTTTCCAAAAGGGCCTGGCAGTGGGCCGATTGGACTTTTGTTCAGTGAGCATACTTAGCAGACAGGAGCCCCAATATTGGGCAGATCGCAGTTGGTGTCGCTCATGCAGCTCGTTGATGATGACACTGGCTGGAGAGGTCTGAGAGTGTTGAGACTTGCAGGGGCGTGCGTAGGATCTGTTTCAAGCAGCCAGCTTCCCTTTAGGTAATTCCACCTCTAAGCCAGGCTCCTCCAGGAGGGACAGACCCTGGCCAGCTGCTCTCAGTCTGTTTCTGTAAAATCTGAAAAGAGAGTAGCAATGTCTCCCTCCTGAAATTGCTGATGGGACAGATATAATTCAGTTTGAGAGCTTAGCACAGGGCCATGTACCTGGTAGATACTTGAATAATATTAGCTGTGATTGCTAAATAGGCAGCATTTCTACAAGGGAGAAAAGCACCGTCCCTTCACCACCACCCTCTATAATGAGTAGAACCCACAGGAGCAAGAGGCTTGAGCTACCCTGAGCTCTCAATTTAAATAGTCTCACTGGGCTCCTGCCAAGACCTCTGTGACTTTTTTCTATAAAACGAGCAGCATTTCTACAAGGGAGAAAAACACCATCCCTTCACCACCACCCTCCATAATGAGTAGAACCCACAGGAGCAAGAGGC